GTTATTCATGGCAAACAAATATCTAACTATTACTGTTCATGACAGTGGGCTTACATCTGAGTTGAAAGACCTTGTTAGCAGGCACTGTGACGAGGCTGCCAACCTTTAAGTCTTTTTTTTTCAGATTTATTTATTTATGCATACAAGAACTGGGGTATAGGCCAGAGGTGTGGGGGTAAGAGGATTCACCAGAGACAGAGTGGGGAACAGAACAGGCAGATCTACTGAAATACACTGCTGAGGGGGAGCAGCAGGCAAGTCTGGAGAGGTCTGCTACGCTATGTGGGTCATCTTTCTGGCCAGAGATTGAACTCATGCTGCAGTGGCTGTGGATAGCTTCATAGTGCTGTGTCTTAACCCCTTGCACCACCAGCAGAGCCCCCAACTCTTAAGTCTTGATAAAGAATTCAGGCTGAATGTATGGTACTGGCAGGGGAGAAGACTAATCATTACTCAGTAAGCTGTTTAGGCATCTATAGCTAGAGTGAGTTGTTACTGTTCAATATTAATTGGGGCAATAGCTCAAAATAAATATGTCTCTACTTAAACTTAAGAGCTCGTAAGATTAACTTGCATATACAAATTGTTATCATTGGTTGAGTGCCTACCATGTACCAGAAAAGTAAGACCTTTGCATGTATTACCACATTGCTTACTTATTTTTTAAAGATTTATTTTTATTTATTTATGCATGGAAGAACTGGGGTGCAGGCCAGAGGTAAAGGGGGTGAGAGGATTCATCAGAGACAGAGTGGGGAGCAGAACTGGCAGATCTACTGAAATATACTGCTGAGGGGAGCTGTAGGTAAGACAGGAGAGGTCTACTGTGCCATGTGGGTTAGCTCCCTGGCTGGGGATCAGACTCATGTTGCAGTGTCTAGTGATAGCTTGATAGTGCTGAGACTTTAACCCCTGAGCCACCAGGGAGGTCCCTTTATAGTATCACATTTAAATTCTCATAAAACGCATGTTGTAATGATAAATAATACTTATTAAACCATCATCACATGCCAGACTATTGACAATTTTACACATATATCTTATTGAACTTCATTCATTATCACTATTACTATTATACTTACTAGTAACAAAGGAATCAGGGGTAAAGTCAGGGTGGGAAATGTGAAGTTGGCACATAGTCATAACAGATTGCCTTCTAGAGCTTGACCATGGAAACACCTTGCTGTAGAGTAGCTGAACTGATCACCATCATTTCACCATTGAGGGACTGCAAGTAACTTGTGCAAGGCCATGATGTGAGAAAAAGTGACGAAATGCTGGGAACTTGGGTGTATCTCTCCTCAAGCACTGTTTGGCAAGTGCATTAATTGCCTTTCTATTCTAGACAGTTCTGTTTTCATATGTTCTTCAATACTTTTCACATATAGCTTAAATAGTTTTAGAAATTATAGAGCAGGAGAAAATGGGAGACCTTGCGTCTATGAATGGAACCTGAATTATGAAGAATTGAGACCAAAGTTGGGCCAGTAAGTCATTTCATCCAAGTCAACTGAGAAGGTGGGCTTGATGCTGGCTGTCTCTAGAACATTCATTCTCTTCTTTATCCTGTTGTGTATTTTCTAAATTTTCTACAACAAGCAAGTGCTACTTTTTGAAACAAATGTTCATAGATAATACTGAATACTTTCTCATGTTAAACATTCAGCTACACACTTAGCTTCCTCTTTTCTATTCCAGTCTTCTTTCCAGAGTTAATCTCATTTAGAATTTGGTATGAATTCTTCCAGACCTACACTGTCGCATAAGGAAGACACTACCCCATGTGGCTACTGAAATATCCTCCTCCAAACTGTGTGCTGTTTAGCATAAAAGACATATGAGATTTAAAGACTTAGTTTGAAGAAAGAGTGAAAAATATTTGATGTAATTTTTATATTGATCACATGTTGAAATGATGATATTTTGGATATATCGGATTTAATTAAATATAATATTAAATTAATTTCATCTGTTTCTCTTTACCTTTTAAATATAGCTACTAGAAAATGTGGCTCACATATTTCTATAGGACAGCACTGCTCTAGTGTCTGGATCTTTTTAGTACACTTACCCACATTCACAAATATAGAAATATAGATTTTGATGTTTTATATTTGAATTAAAACTATTTTTCCTTAAAAACAAAGTATAGTATTTAAATCTATTGGGCATTAATTTTTTTTAAAGATTTATATATTTATTTATTTATTTATTTATTTATTTATTTATTTATTTATTTATACAAACACTGGGTATAGTCAGAAGCGCAGGAGGGTGAGAGAATTCACCAGAGCCAGAGCAGGGAGCAGAGCAGGCAGAGGGACCGAAGTACACTGCTGAGGGGAGCAGCGGGCGGCAGGAGGGGTCTGCGCGCCATGTGGGACCCTCCTCCGGTGGCCGGGGAGCAGCCAGGGATCGAACTGGTGCTGCAGAGGCTGCGGGCAGCTTCGCAACCCAGCGCTCAACTGCTGTGCCACCAGGGACGCCCTGGGCATTAAATTAATTCCTTTTTTCTTCCCTTTTTTCCCCCTCTCCCTACTCTGTCTTCAGCTCCTCCATACTTCTTAACAACCTCCAAAGCACAGAGTAAAGAAAGTAATAATTTTTCTTGGCCACAAAAATGCTACAGTGTACACACCTAATATTTAGGTTGATTCAACAGAGGTGCAGATTAACAAAATGGTATCTATCTTCTTATTGGATAAAAGAAAGTGTTGGTCAATGGAGGGAAGATTTGGAGTTCACGAGTCCTAGACAAATGACTTAGGAAACAGCTGCATCGATCCATCAGCAATGATTTTTAAATAAGTAGACTCGAAATTTCTACGCTTATCATGTCATCTCTTCCTGTCAGATTTTTTTTTTTTGCAGTAAGTATACTTTTATGGTGGTTGACTATGTGCTACTAACTGCTTCTCAGATAGGTCAATATTACCTATAAATTACTACCTCAGTTATGCTACTGAATCCTGATAATTGCTGAAAAAATATACTGACATGTTAAGTATGTGATCATTACTTTGCTAAGTTCTCATTAGTTGAAAATAATAGTTCTCATATATGTAATTATATAGGAAGATTTTAGTTTGTCCAAGTAATATATGAAAATGAAATGAGCTCAGTGGGTTCTACAAAAGAGATGACTTCAAGTTTCCTTTTCTCTTCCACTTAAAAATGGGCTACATATGCATGAACAATCTGCACAGACTACATTGGTGTAAATGAGCTGGGCACACGTGTACACATGCAGCAGTCTTTATGGGGATGGAAGGGTGTTAACCGCGTGCTAGCAGGGTCGCAGTGCCTAGAAAACCTTAGCAGCTCAGCTTACTTGATGCTCAGTGTAGATGCTCCTTGCAGGCAGAGGAGAGAAAAGAACATTAGGCATGAACAGAGGTGCTGTGAAAACTCAGTATTTTCAAGCCCTTCAGACCTTCCTGGGGCTCTGTCCACGAGGAAGAGTGTGTCCATCTCTCTGGTTACAAGCAACTTGATTAAAGATTGCAGTTGAAGGCTTATTCCTTTGCCCACTCATTGCTGCCCCAAGACAAACTTCCCAATGAATAAAATGATTCATGAGCTTGGGCACTTCTAGTTGGTGTTTCCACATAAATAATCAATTTTTCTTAAGTAGATTTCATGGGGGCTCTAGGCTGATAGGACACTTGAAAAGGGTTTCTTTTCCCCATATTCCTCACCATCTTTCTTTCATCCAAGGAAGAATAGGGGAAAAAAATATGCTAGAAACAAAGACTAGGATAATACAGGGATTTTCAACCTTTTTTGAAGCGCCATACAAGACAATCTTTTGAAATTTTAACGAAAATTCCCCCCTAATGAGGACTGACCTATCTGAGTAGATAGTCTCTGCTGTAGCAACCCCACCCTGTCCTCCTGGGGTCTTAGCAGGTACAGGTGAGTAGGGGCCTCTCTCCTCTCCACATCCCTGCTGAAGAAGTTGCCAGGAGATCTCAGGCAGTATCAGCAGGCAGGAAGTGGGTGGGAGTGAGGGTGTCTCCACCCATTAGCAGCTGCTTAAGTAGTAGGCTGGAAGCTTTTCCACAGAGAAATTCAGGTCAGTATATATACTCCCAGCCATTTTTCACCATATGCTACCCAGTTGTGGAATGAAATTAAAATGCTAAGAAATGTCCTGGACTGCCAATCCTCTTATTTTTTCCCCTAACTTGTGAAGAATAAAAAAATACAGTTGGACTTGATGGTTTAAAAGGAATTATTATTTTTTTTTCTTCCAGTACTTTATTTTATTTTATTTTATTTTTTTTATTTAAATAATAAATTTTATTTTTATATTCCCCCATACAACTGCACATGCCCCATTCTGGCCCCAAACCCTCCCCTCCCGGCCCCCACCCCCCAAAAAGTATCTCTGGTTCATAGTTTTTTGTTGATTTTGATTTTCACTTTCTTATAGTTATTCATTTTCCTGATCCCTTATTTAAGTTTTCTAGATTCCTGCTATGAGTATGAGTAAAAAAATAAATAAATAAATAAAAGGAATTATTAGGCAACTGAAAGGAGATGAAGGGAGCACACACCAAGAGAATATGTCTTCATGGAACACCACGTACCAGCAATTAAATGTCAAGAATCATCGTTGTCCTAGCGGTGATGTCTACACAGGCTTAGTAACTTGCTCATTCACTGCTAACCAAAAGACAAGCTTGACCCATTATCAGAATCTTTGGGGAAGGGTGGTAGGTGGAGTGGGGAAAGGAGTGAGGTCGTTTTTAAAATGACTTTATACTTTTTTTAAAAAAAAAACACCAATGTTATCACTGTGGTAGTGAATGTTAGCAGGAAGTTTTGCTGATATTTGTTAATACTTTCCTAGTGAAAGAAATTTGACTTTCTTATATTACTTTTATAACAGTAATTTACTATGGATTTAACAAGTGGGATCATAATTTTATACATACATATAAATCTTAAAAATACTTTTTATATTCCCTCAACAATAGGAAAACGTAAATGATTACCTCTTTAAATGTGTTCCGATTGGCTTGCAAGCCAACTTTTACTACCTCAAAAGGGTTAACCACGATGGCTTCTGTTAGTCCTGCTCCCAATCCAGCAATGGTAAATGTCTACAAAAATTAAATCAATCAATACTTTAAAGCAAGTTATTATGTACACTGGGTTAAACATCCTACTCATTACACTATGCAGCTGAATGTTATGATGAGAATGGAGAAACTAGCAAAAATGTACCATATACCATTACTAAACAGCTTTGGTTCTTGATTAGATGCTGACAATTCATGAAGAAGAAATTACAGAAGCCACAAACCACATCCTAACAATTCAAAATAAAATGTCAAAGCCCCATCAACAATGACTTTTTTCTTTTAATGAAAAGAAAGGTTGTTTTACTGATTTAAGGAGGATATGAAAACATCTGCACATGTAACAATTAAAAGAGAGTTTACTTGTAAAAGGAGAGCTTCATTTTTAAACATCTACTTAAATACATTTATTGAGCATATAAAAAATTCAAGGAGCAGAACCACAAATAAAATGTTTATAAAAAGCTAAATTTCAGGTAACGAAACAGTGTTGCTGAAAACCTTTAAATGGATAGCCATGTTCTTAGAGTCATATTATAGACAATTAACAAACAAAAATTAAATTTTTTTTTCATTTTTCCTCTATTTAAGAAAATGAGCAATTGGCCTATTCTTCTACATCTAGAAACTGAGTAACGATAGCTGAGATCAGAAATGGTTAGGTTGTTTAGTTAAAAGATTCAAGTAAAATCTAGAACAGTTATCAAGAGATGACTATATGTCAGACTAATTTGTTAGCTATTAAGAATTTCTTCAATAGGAAAGAACAATTTTCTAAAATTTCCTCTAAGTGAAATGCTTAATAAGTCAGATTTTTCTGAAAATATGTATCACACACACACAAACACACACACCCAGAAAAGCAAAATGAATCAAAGCTGAAAAAAAATTTCTTTAGTGCTGAAGCTCTAATTCCAGAAAAGGTAGTTTTACATATATCTGAGAGAAGAAAGAAAGCATGCAAAGAATAAAGAACATACATTTCTTATTAGGAGTCTCTAATGTCTTCCAAGTAGGAGACTAAAAGAGAAAAAGGAATGGCTTATAATATTACAAGGGGACACAGGGGGTTACTATCTGTAGGCTGTGTGACCAGAGCTGCCATGTACATAGTTGTTGCACAGATAAAAAGTATGTGTGGAGGCTGAAACTAGTCTGTATCCTTCCTGCCAACCCAGAGTGCTGGAGAGGCTTCTATCAGGAGAAAAGGGCACCTTTTCATAATTCACACAGTGGCAACCTATGTGCTAGCTGCTGCTCTGTGTCTAAATCACCCATCCTTTTATACATCACAGTCTTCTCATCCGTAAATTGGAGACAATACTATCTAATCTCCCCATCTCACAAGATTATTGTGTAATAATGCATGATTAATGTAGGAAAGTCTTTATAAAGTGCTGTACAAAATCCAATGTTTTTGTTACATATAAAAATGGAGAGGAAACATGGAATCATACACAAATTTCTAAGAGAGAGGGAACAACTAATGATGTTTTCTCTTCATTACAACTTTAAACATGTTTGTATAGGGTTATAGCTCACTATTTTATTCATTTATCTCAGACTTCCATCATGGCAGCCAAAAGTGGAAAAAAAAGTACTAGTCCCAATCTCTTCTAACTTAGAAAGCTAAAATCCAGATGTTCAGGTTTTTATTACTATATGCAATCTTCCAAGTAATTCACTTTTTTGTTCTGCTATAAAACTCAGCTACATGTGCTGTCAGAATCAGTGTTCAGCAGTCCCTTGTCAAAAGAATTGATCAGCTATCAGTAGATCGTGTTACGTAGATTGTTCCAGAGACTGACGGTAACTATGGGGTTTCCAGTCTCCTGGCTTTTCATGTGAGAGCACCAGGGGATATTTAATGGTTGTTTAAGTGTGTAGCTGTATTGAAAAACTGGGATAAATGAGTTCAAGGAAAGAGAAAAATGTACACAGTTTGTGTGCATTTGGTTATAGTAATTGGCGAGGCCAAGATGCTCTTCTGTTTCCATTCTCAGTAGTGGAAAGAACTGCAGTCTCTGGTCCTCTGGACATCATATTTTGTTGACTCTTGCTAGGAAGTTTTAAATCTTCCTTTTAACCAAGATGCTTTAAAAATTAAGAGTGACATCAAGGGAAGATATTGAGGAAATTTAAAACATTCTAGTTAATTTTAGGAGTCATGCTAACATTTCTCCGTGGTACGAGGTCACCTTGTGTAGGCAAGAGGTTTCTTTGCCATAACACAAAACCAGACTATTAGGTTTCTTAATAGGTTCCTTCTTGGGCAACAGCCATGCATCATTTTTAAAATTAGAGATACTTCTGCTTGGAATGTCTTCTTCTTCTTCTTCTTTTTTTTTTTTTTTTTTTTTTTGAGTGTCTATTTAGCAGAGCAAATATTCCAAAAGGAACCTTTACAAGTAAAATGATTACAGAGCTGGAACTCAAAACATGGCCTCATTGGTTGAGTTTTGGGGCACATTTCAGCTGGTAAACTGGGGGATTTTCCTAGAGGCTAGAATTGAAGGGGCAATACAGATTTTGTTATGTTTTGATTTGTAGATTTAAAGGGATATAGTACATTTGTTCTCTCTCAGCTCTCAATGCACAAATATTTGTAGGACCCATTTGGTCCTTATAATTTAACTTGTTTTGTGAAGGGTGGTGAAGTCACCCAGAGGAAAGAAGTGGCGTCAGGAAATCTTCAAATCACCAAGTGATATTCAGATAATAGTTGAGCTGTGTCATTGTAAGATCACTATCCTCCCTGACTACAAAAGGCCCTTCAGTCTTGTCTGACCACTGAAGGCCTATATTTATGAGAGCAGTGCAAAGCAGGAAAAGTGACCAGTTATAAAATAATCTCAGGCATATTGACTTTTTCATAAGTAGATCTGAGCAGCATGTCTGTAAACACACGCATGTTTTGGCTTTAAAAGAGCCTTTGACAAATGCATTCTTTATTTTATATTCTTGACCATATCTCATATGGATCTTTCCACACATATCATTATTATCATAAATTCATCATTGGGAGCTATAAAATAGTCAAATTGTGAGTTATTAGGAAGATAGCTTTCAACAAGTAGCTGAACATTGAATAACCTGAATTCATATTTTAGTAACTGGGCTTGGGGAATCAAAAGGGTTTTTGTTTCCAGATACTGCTTTATGAAATAGCACACACACTTAAGTATAATAAATACTCTCACTTACCAATGCTGGTGACAGTGACACATATCCTAGCAATTTCTTGTACTGCTCAAAGGTGAAAAACTGTGAAACAAAACCAAACCCAGAGATTTATAACAATTTCCTGAAACAAACCCTTTAATTGACTCAAATTTCTTTAGTAAATCATTGCATTAACCAGCATTTAAAAAAATGATAAAACATCCAATATAGCTTTTTAATCCAGTCTCGGGTAGTTGCTATTGGATTCTATTTTAACTTTCACATTTTCAAATGAAACTATAATAACCTACAGAAGAGTTGATGGAATCCTTTATAGCAGTAAATGAACCATACAGCTTCCATTTACCATGACCATTTTCAGTTTCCCCAGACATCAATAGCCTTCTTTTTATGGCAGCAATTCAAAATTATAGGCATAGAGACCTGAAATCTTTGGTCTCCTATGTTTTCTCTATAACTGCTTTCCCAGTAAATAGCCAATTTTCTAACTTACTTCTAAGAGATAGCCACTTCTCAGCTTCAACTGTGCATTTATATGGTTGCAATAAATGCAACCATAGCATTTCTGAATACTTGATGATGAAGATGCTGTGATAAACTAGGGAAGGACCCAAGGAGGAGAACACCTACATCCCCAGCCTTAAAACCAGATTGATGTCAACTTGAATGAAGAAAGAAACTGCTTACTCCTTCTTAAAAATCTGAAGATGACGGTTTTGTTTATTTCTTTAGTAGATGATGCTTAATACAATTTTTCTTTGCAAATAGGTTTCTACGAAGGCAACCTAGTCATTTGTTTCAAATATTGTAACTCAAATACATTTTCTTCTTCTCTTCTTTCTGCATTCTACATTGTTTGAACATGATTTTTTTTTAAAGATTAATTTATTTATTTATACAATCACTGGGTACAGTCAGAAGCGTGGGAGGGTGAGAGAATTCACCAGAGCCAGAGCGGGGAGCAGAGCAGGCAGAAGGACCAAAGTACACTGCTGAGGGGAGCAGCGGGTGGCAAGAGAGGTCTGCGCGCCATGTGGGACCTTTGCCCAGCAACCGGGGATCGAACAGGCACTGCAGAGGCTGTGGGCAGCTTCACAGTCCAGCGCTCAACCACTGTGCCACCGGGGAGGCCCGGAATATGATGTTTTTATTCCTGGGTACTGTGGTAGGCAGCTGCCAACATCACTGAGGAAACACTCTCTTTCATAGGTCCTGCTAGAATCTTATTTCAAGACTCCCAAGTGGCATGAGTATTTGATGGTCCCAACTACATTTTACTTCATTACTTTATAACTCAAGAAAATGGGACAAGAATAAATTATGCATCTGGAGACAAGATAATACTTTTATTAGAAAGAGGCAGTTTTGTGTAGATGTGGCTCAAACGAGTCTTTGGGCAACTCAAGAGTCATTACATCACCGGATTAATTTTGATTTGCTCACAGACCCAGAATAACTTTTGCACCACAGTTCTTTAGATCTAATATGGATGCAGATTTTTCTAGAGCAGGAACTCATCCAACAAATTTTTATTGGTTGCCTCTTCTGTTCTAAGCACTGGGGCTGCAGGAATAAACAAAGTGAAACTCCTGCCTTCTTGGTCTAATGTACTAGTGGATGATAATAACTCCCACTGTTTTGATGAGATATGTACTAGAAGCCATTGCCATGGTTAAAAAAAGGGATATGGTCCTAAGCCGTATAAATCATTTATTTTTTTCTTTCTTTTTATGTTCATCACCATCATTATTCTTTGACAGTCATCTTCCTGGGATTTCAAGGGGAGCTGTCCTGGATCTAAATCCTTGCTATGCTACTTAGCGGTGAAGTGCGGACAGGTCACCTAAACTTTTTAATACTCAATACCACACAACTTACCTTTAGAGTAGTTCTTGGTACAAGAATTTAAGGAAGATTTACTGAGATGCCTGACACATAGGAGCCTTTCAGAAAACCCTAGTTTCGATTTACATTCCCTTTCTATGCTATGCGTTACCAAAGGAACCAGAGATGCTTCAATTGCAGGTATCACTCATGGCAGCCTGCTGTGGTCCAGGAAACATGCCAAGGCCTTCACATGTGCTGCTGCAGCTAATCCACACAGCATCACCAGGTGACAGGATACATAGTGCCACCACAATGCCCATTTTATAGATCAGTGTCCTGTAGTGAGTGGAAGGACTAAGATTTCCCCCTAAGTCCTCCATAGACTATGTATGCTTTCAACTCATTGCTGAATCACAATTGTTAGTGGTTGGGGAAGAGATTCTCTGCCTTAGCAATTTCATGCTGTGGAGGTATTCTTGCTTTCTGAGACCCTGGAAGCCCAGGGCTCCTCAAGGCATAAGACTTCAAACTCTCTCTTTTTTTTAAAGATTTATTTATATAAGCACTGGGTACAGTCAGAGAATTCACCAGAGCCAGAGTGGGGAACAGAACAGGCAGACTGACAAAGTACACTGCTGAGGGGAGCAGCGAGCGGCAGGAGAGGTCTGTGCACCATGTGGGACCCTTGCCAGTGGCCAGGGATTGAACTGGTGCTGCAGAGGCTGTGGGCAGCTTCTCAGCCAAGACTTCAAACTTTCTTTTACTACAGTCTACATAAAAAATATTTACCCAGTGCATGAGCATGAATGGTTGCAGTGCACATTTGTATTTATAACTGAAACCAAACATTGTTATAAAACAAAATTTACCTCCTTACTATGTGTAATGTGCTCTGCTTCTATTTTTTTAATTTTATATATTTTTTGCATCATTTTTCATTTTTGCACAATGTATGCATTTTCATCTTGTTATAGTCCCCATACAATTCCCACCCGCCCCCTTGTTTTGATCTTACTCCCTCCCCCGCCCTCCCTCCCCACTCCGTAGTATGTCTCTGGTTTATAGTTGCTTGTGGATTTTGATTTTTACTTTATTATAATTAGTCTTTTTCCTGGTCCCTTATTTAGGTTTTCTAAATTCCTGCTATGAGTAAGACTATCTGGTATTTTTCTTTTTCTTTCTGGCTTATTTTACTGAGCATGATCCCTTCAGCTCCATCCATGTTGCTGCAAATTGCATGAGTTTATATTTTTTGATTGCTGAGTAATATTCCATTGTGTATATGTACCACATCTTCTTGATCCAGACTGCTTCTATTTCATTACCAAAATCTCTGGTCACCACTTGTTATATTTAGTGGCTCACTAAAATGATTTCATGACTCATGGGTCATGACCAACATTTTGGAAATACTGCTCTAAGGGGTGCTCATTGGGTCTAGGAGATGATGAACCTCCAAAAGCCCTTGCTGTTACCTCATAAGCTTCCAGTGTATGGATGCCTGTCTGCCTGTCTGCCTGCCTTCCTGCCTTCTTTCTTCCTTTCTTTTTCTCTTCATCCTTCCCTCCTACCCTCCTTCCCCAACATTACAGGGATTAAGAACCAAACAGAGATCTCAATGGAGAAGTCTGGGGACAAGGACTTTGCAGGTCACTAAGCAATTCTGACAGGGAATCTCAATTCTACACCTTGGGAGTTACTATAGGTTTGCCATCTTATTTTTAACATTTCCTTTTTATAAACTTATTTATTTTCCTACATCATTGCTCATTTTGCACAATATTTGCTTTCTCCCCTCAGTTCCCCTACACTCAGGTGTAGCCCCCAAAGTTCTCCCATCACCATAGCACCTGTGATTCATCACCATAGTCCCCTGTGCTCTTCCCTCCCCTGTTTTGACCCATCTACCTCCTCCTCCCCTGATGCATACTTCAGTTCTATGGTCAGTTTGCAAGTTTTGTCTTTTTCCCTACCCTTTGTTCAGTTTCCCTATATTCCGCCTATAAGTGAAATCAACTGATATGTCTCTTTCTTTCTGACTTATTTCACTTAGCATAAACTGTAGGGTTTTTATCCTTTAATTTCCCACACTTTTACATCTATAATATCTATAAAACTGTTAAAAAAATAAATTAATATGAGGGTCTCCCTGGTGGTGCAGCAGGTTGAGCACGGTGCTGTGAAGATGTCCGTAGCTTTGGCAGCGCAGGTTTGGCCCCGGCCGGCTAGGGAGATTCCCACATGGCACGGCAGACCTCTCCTGCCTCTCCTGCTGCTCCCCTCAGCAGTGTTTTTGGTCTGTCTGCCTGTTCTGCTCCCCACTCTGTGTCTGGTGAATCCTCTCACCCTCCTGCACCTCTGGCCTATACCCCAGCTCTTGTATAAATAAATAAATCTTTTTTTTAAAAAAAGACTTAAAAAAAACCCAAATTAATAAGAGCTAATTGGTGTTTATCAACAGTCTTATCAGTAGCTTTTGGTGAAGGACTAGAATAAAGTGACTTAGTTTCCTGGGAATAGCAAAGCCCTGCAGGTCATAGTGATTAACTGCTAATGTAGTAAATTCAAAAGTAATGAATAATACATTAACCCATATTCTAAATAATCAAACAGTGCCTGAAACTGAAAACAAACAGTTTTCATTTCACCTTGCAATCAAAACCTAATTTACTGAATATAAAATAAAACAATATTTTAAGAAAGGAAACACTAAAATTATCATTACAATTAGAAATCAGTATTTACTAAAAATCTTCACTCATTCATCAACTATTAAACTGGATGCCTTCCATGTTCAAAGCTTAGAAGACATTATACTAGAAATATATTCTTAGAATTAGTAGATTGACTATTGTTTTAATTCCTCTTTGTATTGAGTATTGCTTTAATTCCTCTTTGTATAATACTACTCCTTAATGGTCTTCATGGAATATTTTAGTAATTTCTCACTGACAACATTAGTTAATTTATAGATGTGATAAAAATACTCTGTCATTTACGATATGAAATTACACTCTAAAGAAGCAGTTAGGAGAGTCAACATGTAATAAAGCTACCAATGTCATAAAATGTGTGACTATGGAGTTTTGAAATCTAATCTAAACCTAGGAATCCAAATTATTTATGTTATATATAACCTATGTATTGGAATCTAGAAATGTGTGGTTTGGCTAGTTTCATTCTTGGGAGACGGGCTGAGGCTGGAGGATGGATCACATAGGCCACTGCTGAGGTTGGGGAGGGGAGGTTGGCACAGTTTGCTTGGGTGACCCAGCCCTTCAGATAGCTTCATCCATGCTCACTAAAGCATGGATGACTAAACACAATCTGGTGACTAAACTGCCCTCCAAGATACTCTTCTGGAATGCAGTTCTAGTACATGGAAACAGCTTGATTCACTTGCGTTTTGTTGTTTAGGAATTGGGATTTGAGCATTGCTCAGAAGAGGGCTAATTATTCCCATGATGGCAGCAAATCCCTCCTGACTCCTCCCCTCAATGCCCCGTGGATGTCAAAGCCTTCTAGTTTGACTGGTGGGAACAGGCACTATTCCCCGCCCTGTGTGACTGCCAAGTATCGTTCCCTCTAATCCTTTGGACAACTCCTTTCTGGGTCTTGCTAGTTTCCTTATATGCACAGAATGGTCAATCCCTAGCTCAGAGCTTCGGGTATCCCTCTCCGGTCTTAGCAGTTCTCTCTCCGGGCGGCTCTCTCTCCTCTAGCACTCTGTCCTGAGAACTCTAACTGTCTTGTTCTCTCCGGCCTTTTAGCTCCTTTTCAACCCAGGAAGTCCACCTGACTGACCCTGGGCCTGGAAATCCCATCAAGGGAGTAAAACATAAGGGGGGCGATTTACTTGTTTTCCATCCATTGCTATCCTTGTCCAATGGCTTGAAAATGGTGGTTTCTTATAATTTACTCATTTCATTTATTGTCATTCAGGAGAATAAATCTGTTCCTTGTTAACTTTATGTTGGCCAGAAATGAAGTCCTGACCTTCTAGAAATCCTAAATAGTAAATATGGGAATTTTGGGGAAAAGGACAGAAAAAGCTCCTCTAATAAATTAAATTAATAATTAAAATGCATTAAATTAATCTCATATCAACTCTACATATACTATGTAGAGATGGTGATAGGTGTGGGGATACAGTGGTGAAACAAAACCTTTCACAGTTTATAATTTGTCATGAGCTGGGTAAGCACTAGGAAGTCCTTGAGGGTCTGACCATGGAAAAGTCATGTTTCTGGACCTGTGGAGCTGAAGGCCAGAACCGGGGACCTGGAATATGGTGCCTCCTGTCTCTGAGGGACCAGCAGTCTCCTTACTTTATTTCCTTCATTTTCTTGCTTACCGCAATATTAATCGGCCTTCATTTATGAAGGGGGAAGTTTCATTTTTTTTTAACATCAAGGAATATTATTTTTTAATGATGACTCTCATTTCAAAGTATAAAAAGTATAGAAAAAACTTAGCATCATCTGTTTTTGATTATAGCTAATGATTGTAACTGAAGTAGTGTCAGTACCAAGGAAGATACATTATAAATATCTATATAAAATATTTAAATCAGTTATATGTACATTATGTATGTGTTTGTGTACCTATATAAATTCTCTGAATATATTTTCTGAAATAAGCTTTGATAATGTACAATGGAGCAGTTTATGATGTATGAAATCGTTACAATCAGATGATTGTTTTTCCTCACAAATCCTAAGATAAATAACTATAAGAAGAATGTTTTCGAAAATTGTGTTGAAAAACCAGTGCTATCCATCTGGTAAAGATACACTGAACTCCAAGTTATACTTTAAAAGCCAACGTACTTACCATATGTCTCAATAATTTTAAGGTAAAGTCTACTTGAAACAAGATGTCTGGGACACATACACCATATCCAGTTGCCCAAAAGTTCATCTGTTAACCATTGTTCTGGCAGGGAGCATTGCTTTTTTGCAAAGAGTCTAACTCAGTTTTGTAAAGCTCAACTTTTTTTTTCTTCTGTGAAAGACTGCTCAACATTGATAAACCATAATCCTCTTAAAGTTTAACTTGTCTCCAATATAAAGTATTAAGGAAAAATATTTCAGGAAAAAGTTTAATTGTAATTTACTTTATTTATACATGTAAAACACTGAACAAATGAATATGTTATTCTATGGAGACAAAGTGACTTTCCTTTTGAACAGGAACTCTGCTCTGTTTGTTTACTTGGGCAATCTTTTATCAAGTGAAGCCGTTTCATAATTCAATTCAGCCCTCTTGTGTACTTTGGTGAACTTTTTCCAGATTCTCTACTGCGATTCAGATTCTCATAATGAAATTTGTATTGAAGTAGTAACATGAAATTACAAAAACTATGGCAACAAAGAAGATGCATTTATAGAGAAAGTATGTTTTAAAGCTTTGCTTTCTGAATTCTAGACCCAAATTGAATCCTATTAAATTACTGTTTTGACATAATATGAAAGTATGGTGTCTGTGTATATATGTTGGCTATTTTATCATTTTTAACCCAGTCACTTTCTTAATTTACTGAGTAAAAGCATATAAGCTGCCCTTCTTACCTTTCAGAAATATTGGGAATACAAATTGAGTAATGCATGTCAAAAAAACTTTATGTCATTATTGGAAAGGAAGTCTTTCAGTCCAAGTTTATGTTAGCCTTATTGTGAAAAGACAAAGCCTTATATGGTTGATGTCAGCTAGGTGGGGGTGGGCAATGCCAGGCAGAGTCACTGTGTTCAGAGTTTTGTCTGAGAGAACATATGAAAGAGTGATCTGATTTAGTTCCTTCTCCCCCGGAGGTCTTGCCAGATCTGAGTTCCTATCCACATACTGAACCAGCAAGTGGCACATAACCCTCCATATTTATGTGGTTAAAGAGATGGAAATTAGGATAGTGGAAGTAATAATTTTGTGAAAACAGAAAAGATAGGGGTGAAGTTAGCATGCCAAATAAATGTGTTATATGAGACTCATAAAAAAAGTACAGTCTGTTAGTTTACTCTGTTCTTATAAAGGGAATGATTTGGGGAGAAAGGTTTTCCACATATCCTCTCTCTTCTCTTCTCCCTCTCTCTTTCTTTAATAATTATTGCTCCAAAGGAAAACATATGAATTTCCTTGAGAAAAAGTCCAATAATTTTGTGAAAACCACGTTGATGCCATGGTTTGATTATGTGAGTTTCATTCAGCACTATACTTTTTTATATAATTTTCCCATTGGAGGGGAGTGCCTTTATCTAAAATGAAAAGCTGCAAACCAATATTGGAATGATTTACCATGTCTACTTATAATAAAAATTATGCTACAATTTTTGCATTAGAATTATGAATGTCTATGTTTAATTCACATTGATCTCCCATAGTTTGTTGTGGAATGTTTTAATGATACAGCTGTTGCTATAGTCTATTTTTACTTGGTGAGAATACTTACCTTTACTGCCCTTTTTGGTGTTTCAGCCAAGATGGGTGGCAGGATTCCCTTGTAAAAGCCAAACAACCTATGGGAGAAAGAAAATATTTCACATAAGTAAAGGGGTTAGGGGAAAAGGTAATTCTGCCTTTATTGATGAATAAAGTAACAAATCTTAAAGTACTCCCAGTTATTCAATGTAATATGCCAGTGTTGAAGACCTCCTCTGTATTTATTCTAAAGAGTGAAGTATGAATTCCATGTTTATTAGCACTATGATGATCAGAAGAAGAAATGCTACTGTGACTAGAATCCCTTAGCAAGTTGCTAAACAACCTGACTTGCAATCTAAAGATGAAGTTGACCCCTTGTGCCTCACTAAGGAATGCTGACTTTATTTATTCCCCTGTGTAGTAGGTAGTATCAAGCTGTCTATTATAATATTACATTTCTTCCCTCATGATAACCAAATTAAGATAGGGTTATTGGGCCTCCCTGGTGGCACAAAGGGTTGAGCACAGCACTGTGACGCTGTTGGCGGCCTCCGCAGCACAAATTCGATCCCCAGCCAGGGAACTACCCACATGGCACAGCAGACCTCTCTTGACTTGCCTGCTGCTCCCCTCAGCAGTGTATTTCGGTCAGTCTGCCTGTTCTGTTCCCCACTGTCTCTCGTGAGTCCTCTCACCCCCTGCACCTCTGGGCTGTACCCCGGTTCTTGTATGCATAAATGGATAAATCTTTAAAAAAAAGATAGGGTTATACCTGAACCCACTAGACTGAAAGCTGTCTGAGGCTAGCCAGGTGATGAATTTCTTAATTTTAGGGAATTAACACACTGTATGGCTATGGAACTTGGGCTCCCAGTCCTGTAGTTAATTAGGTATAATTTTTTAACTTTTTAAAACTTCCTTGACTGGGGAAGGTCAGGGAGGGCTGAATACAGGAACATATGGTGCTGACAGAAGAAATGTCAAAATCCCTTGCTGATGTGCCATTTCACAGAGCCTGGGTCAGCTCTTGCTGCCAATGTTGAGGGACTCATGGTCACATATTCAGATGTTTTTCAAAACAAACAAGCAAACAAACACAAACAAACAATAAATGAATGCTTATGTTAAGATTTTTAAAAAGTAAAACTCACTAATTTCTTACTAGGTTTTAATATTAAAAATATGTCTGCCCTGGAATATATATATATATATATATATATATATATATATATATATATATATATTAAACCTAAAAATATATGAATAGTATATAGTATTCTCTTATTTTCTAAGGTAATCAGTTTTCCTGGTGAACACATAAGAGGTTACAGATAAGAGCAGGAAGTTCATGTCACTATGTCAGGAAGTTCATTTAACATAAGGCTGGAGCTTCTCTGACCCTTCGAGTTTCACTACAACTTCCTTAAATTGGGTTCTGCTTCTAGCTGTGCCTTTGTAACAAGAAAGTTAAGCGTCTATTAGGACTAAGCCACTGTGCCACCCAACTCAACATGGAAATCTCTTGCTTTTTGATTTCTTGGCTTACATAGCACTCTTCAGTGAGGGGAGCAAAGGGTTTGTCTTACAGCTTCTAAACTGTACGTAGGTAACCCCTTGAGGGGTGGGTGTGTGTTAGGGTACTTGAGAGAGAGCGCCAGATACCAGGACACAAATATTTATTAAGCATATGGATTTCATGATGATAAAAAAAAGAATCAAATGATCCTCTGATATGGGTTTCTTTGCCAACTATTTTTTACTTAATGGATATTGCTAGCATTACTAATAGGAAGGAAAGCAGACATGTGATTTGAAGAATGAGATTCATGAATTCCCCACTGCCATACCTCCTTCCATTCCAATATCAACTTTTGATGTCTGAAATTCTCATATCAGCACTTTTTTCCTTTAGAAACTTTTGAAACTTAAATATCACAACTTTGTATAATCTAAATTTTGTTGTAAACGATTTTGAAATATAATTGTCACCCCGAGGGTGACTAAGCATAGATTAGGTCTTCCCAAAAGATTAATGTGATTTTCCTGAATATAAGTTTTATATAATGAAAGATGTTATTAGTTCTGCTCTATCTGTGCTGATCTTTCCACATCTGGAAGATTATGCTTGGTTGTTAGGGGAGGGAGAGATTAAGAAGACCATTTAAGTAAGCAAAGGTTTTAGAACAGACTGTTAAGTTAGATAGATATTTGAAATGCCATACAACAGAAAATAGTTAAAGGAAGAACAACTGCTCGGTCTGGAGAAGAAAGATCAGAAGGGAGAGATATGTTGAACACACGGAGCTCTTGAAAGGCAGACATTTAGGAAAGAGATCAGACTTTTCTGTTTCCACATGGTAGATCTAGGAACAACAAAGAGCTGCAATGAGGAAAGAACTATTTTGGGCCCAATAGGGGCTTAATACAAACAAATACTTTTACTAGTAGGAACTATCTGGAGCTAGAATGGGCTTTCCTAGAAAGTGGTAAGTTTCCCTGTGTGGTATGTGATCAGCAATTTGGAAGACCACTTGCCATGTGACTCATGGAGAGGTGGGATGTGCCCAGCAATGGATGGATTTGAGGGCTCTTGAGATTGGTCTGCTCCAACCCTCAGGATTTGTTATTCTAAGAGAAAAAAAACAAAACAAAACAAAACAAGGGGACATGGGAAAGCACTTTTCTGAATAGACTAACTGTCTCACTTCAAACTCTTGCCTAAAGTAGCACACTGCTTTTCTGGATGAGGACAGAAGTCTTATAAATAACACAGAAGGTCTTTATTTCAAACATGATGGGAGAAAATATTAAAAAGAGGTGTAAGGCAGGAGGGGAGAGAGGCAGCTGGGGGACCATAAGGGTTTAATCTGAAAAGAGCTGGGAGGTCCAGGGACCTCTGCTTCATGTTGGCAATGCTTCCTTGAAGTGCCCTCCTTCCTTTCTTTCTGATGGTTCCTTTCATTTAATAGGATGACTATCCTACCCCCACCCCATCGCCTCTAGCCATTCTACCATCTTGAAATTTCTAACAGTGAATGAACAGTTTTAAAGGGAAACTCTCAAAGACCAAATGCAGCCTTTGCTGGCCAATGGGAAACGAGGACTATCAACTTGTCAGCATTGCGTTCATGGTGTCTTCCCGCAGTAGTGGATATCTATGGCATGGTTAGGCTGCCACCTCTTCTGCTGAGAATGGCTCATTTTTTTAAAGCCACTGGAACCGCCATATTATTATAGTGTGATATTGCCTGTAGGTAGCAATTGATTGGACATCTCACCAAGTAATATTCTGTCACCATCCCAGTTCATCTGATCCAAATGAGACAGCAGATTTTTTTTTTAACCCAGATTTTGGAGTTGGAACTAGAAAGGTCAATCTTTTTCTTTGTGATTGAAATTCTAAGATCTGCAGCTAGGATATCAATGGCATCATGTGTTCTGCCCTTGGAGAAAGTCAACCTGCAGAGATAAAAATGAAGGAAGCCACCCTTCAGGGACACAAGAAGCAAGATGGCAAAGAGAAGTTCTGGTATTTTAAGTATGAGTAGGCTGCCAGGATTTCTTTAAACTTTGTTGTATCTTGACTTTTCTTGAGTAGTGGCATCACCCTTTGCTTCTGATTCTTTGAGATATCCAGTCACATAATTTCCCTTTTTTTACTTAGATCTTTTGGAGTTGGGCTTATTACTTATAACCCAAAGTCCTGGATCCAGAAAGTAAGCATTATGGCCCTACAGTAAAATGAGTGCTACAGGACCCCCATACCATACCATTTCCCATGAAGAGTCTCTTGGCAGGGAAAAATGGGCCCTTGGGCCAATCAGAAGAGTCACACCCAAAATGCAGGCACGAGAAAGTGGACAAGCACTCAAGGAGATGAGCTTTCCTAATATAAAATGCGATATATAGATATTAGACACAAAAGAAGTAATTGTAATGTTTTATAAAGGAGTTACATTTTTTCCCACCCAAGAACTGATGTTGATACCCACATGCACTCTTCATTCTGCCAATTTTTTTCTGCCCTCCTAGTTCCAGCTTGAAATACAGATCACGTTGTTTACCAAGACGATAACTAGGGACTTCTAGAGATTTGTGACACATATCAACACGCTCGTTGTGCCTCCTTCTCAGGAAGCAAACTGGCACATTCAGTCTATCCTCTGGGTGAACAGAAAGTGCGGTCCTAACGTTGATGTAGCATTAATAGCAGTTTCCCCTGAAAATGGGTCAAAGTTTTGACCCTCATCAACCAACTGGAGAAACCTCTGGAAGAGGCACAAGCGCCTATGCCAGGCCTCCCATAAATCTATGTAGTGTGAATTGCATGGCAGTCCTCGTATTTTGTTTCTCAAAGTTGTTAGTTCCAAAAGTGGTGAGTTTGTTTTTTAACTGTACCATGTAGGAAAATGTTAACCTGGAATCCTGTGGACTTTTGTTAATATTGTTATAAATGGAAATCGCCAAAATGTGTCCAATACTTGCTATGTACTAGGTACTCTGTCAAGATAAATATACACAGGCACATGAACATTTTTCAATCTCCTTCAACTCTCACAGCAGTCCTTTGAAGGAGGTATGTTTATTACCTTCATTTTGCAGATGACACCTACTACCTCACTGCCAAACAGAGTTCTGTATCTCAAATAAAATTCCATTGTTCTCACAATACATGGCCTTGACTACAGGCTTATACTGTACTGAGGTCTTTTCTTAGAATTAAACTGTTTTTAGAAATACTTTGGAAAGATAAATTATTTCTGTTGCAAAAATATCTTATCACTTCTTATTTAAGTAGGAAGCAGAAGAGACAGTTAAAAATTTGGTTTCTAACCCCATTTTCATTCAATCCCATTTTAAAGTAACATGATAGATCTGGATTGAGATGAACAAGATAATTTTTTGGGTGAAAGCTTTTGGGTCATTGATTATTTTCTAGTTGGGTGAGAAGGAGGAAAATATGCAGGCCCTAGGATAAATTACTTTTTCCCCTAGGTAAACTGTTGCCCATAAGAAGCACACCAGGTTAATTCTGTCAGTGTGGGAGAAAAACAAAGCATAGTTAGTAACATGATAAAACAGTGAAATATTTTAA